ACTACTATACACATGGACCTCACCAGATGGAGTACACAGAAATCAAAATGACTATATCTGTGAAAAAAGACTGTGGAAAGCTCCATTGTTGTTTTTGTTATTGTTAAGTGCCACTGAGTCGGTTCTGACCCATAGCAACTCTGTATAGGGTTTCTGAGGAGCAGATGGTGAGTTTGAACTGCAAACCTTGCAGTTCAAATGGCTTTGCAATTTGGCACATTAACCCAGAGCGCCACACCAGGACTCCAAAAACTCCATATTATCAGCCAAAACAAGACCAGGGGCAGACTGTGGAACAGAACCATCAATTGCTCATATGCAAGTTCCGACTGGAACTGAAGAAAACTAAAACAAATACACAGAACCAAAATATGACCTTGAACATATCCCACTTGAATTTAAAGACCACTCCAAGAACAGATTTGATGCATTAGACCCTAATGACCAAAACCCAGAGTTGTGGGATGACATCAGGAATATTGCACAGGAAGAAAGCAAAAGGTCATTAAGAAGGCAAGAAAGAAACGACCAAAATGAATGTCTGAAGATACTCTGAAGCTTGCTCTCCGCCCTACAGATGTTAAAGCAAATGGAAGAAGTGAGGAGGTAAAAGAGCTCAATAGAAAATTTCAAATGGCAGCTCGAAAAGACAAAATCAAGTATTATAATGAGATGTGCAAAGACCTAGAATTAGAAAACTAAAAGGGAAGAGCATGTTCAGCATTTCTCAAGCTTAAAGAATTGAAAAATTCAAATCTTGAATTATTATATTGAAGGATTCTATGGGCAAAATATTCAGTGATTCAGAAAGCAACACAAGAAGATGGAAGGAATACACAGTCACAATACCACCCTCCCCCCAAAAAAAGTCAATATGCAAAAATTTCAATAGGTAATATATCATCAAGAGCCAATGGTACTGAAAGAAGTCCACGATACACTGAAGACATTGTCAGAGAACAAGGCTCTGGAAATTGATGAAATGCCAAGTGAAGTCTTTTTGCAAATTGAAGCAGCACTGAAGGCACTCATTCATCTATAAAGAAATTTGGAAGACAGATACCTGGCCAAATGAATGGGAGAGATCCATATTTTGCCCATTCCAAATAGAGGTGACCTGACACAATGTGGAAATCATCAATATCATTAATATCACTTGCAAGTAACATAATGCTGAAGATAATTCAAAAAATGGTTGCGAAGTACATCAACAGTGAACTGTCAAAAATTCAAGAGGACATGCAATGAAGCATATTATTGCTCACAGCAGATGGATTTAAGATGAAAGTAGAGAAAACCCGAAAGGTGTTTATTTGTGCTTTCTTAACAATGAAAAAGCTTTTGACTGTGTGGAACCTGACAAGATGTAGATACATTGCAAAGAATAGGGATTCCAGAACACTTACTTAATTGTGCTCGTGAGGAACCTGTACAAACACCAAGAGATAGTCGTTCAAACATAGTTAAGGTGTACTGAATGGTTTAAAATTAGGAAAGGTGTGCATCAGGGTTTTATACTTTCACTGTATTTATTCGACCTGTATGCTGAGCAAATAAACTGAGAAGCTGGATTACATGAAGAAAAATGTGGCATCAGGATTCGAAGGAGACTCATTAACAACCTGTGATATGCAGATGATACAACCTTCCTTACCGAAAGTGAAGAGGACTTAAAATACTTATTGATGAAGATCAAAGAGCACAGCTTTCAGTATGGGTTCAGCAAGAGTAAAGAAAATGCAAATCCTAAGTGGACCAATAAATAGCATCCATATAAATGGAGAAGAAATTGAAGTTGTCCAAGACTTCATTTTGGATCCACTATCAACACTCAGGAAGCAGCAGTCAAGAAATCAAACGACATACTATATTAAGTAAATCTGCTGCACAAAACCTCTTTATAAATTATTCAAGAGCAATTGGAGGACTAAGGTGAGCCTGACCCAAGCCATGGTATTTTCAGTAGCCTCATATGCATGTGAAAGTTGGACAATGAACAAGGAAACTCAAAAATATAAAAAATATAGAAGAATTGATTCATTTGACCTATGGTGTTGGAGAAGAATATTAGGTATCATAGCCTGCCAGAGGACAAATAATTGAATCATAATGTACTTGATAACATTTAGCAACAGCCTAGAAATCATAATGATCAATGTTCCCTGAAAAAAAAAAAAGGAAATTTTAGAAAAGTATAGGAAGAAAAAAAACTGTTGATCATAATAAATTCTTCACTACTGATTTGAAAAGTGGTATGCTAATATCCATCTATCTGTTCTATACAATCCATGCAGAGGTAGGTAGGCAACTAGGTTGGGGCTAGGAGCGCAACATTACTCCAGGCCTATGTTCAAGCACGATCCCATTCTTCCCACAGACAGAAATGTACTTTCAGAAGACATGGTAATAAACTTGCATCTTCTCAGCTTGGTAAGACTCTGTACTCCCCTTCAAGACACACACATAAGATGGAGTTGCTGGGGCTGGGGGCTCAGGACTATAGTCTTAGGGGACACCAAGGTCAACTGGCATAACATGCATTCTAATTTGGTGAGTGACAAATAGGGTCTTGAGGACTTGAGAGTAGTCATCTAAGGTGCAATTCTTGGTCTCTCCCTGTCTGGAGGAAAGAAGAGTAAAGAAAATCAAAGACATGGAAACAATCTCTAACAGACTAATGGATCACATGAACATCATCAGTCAGTCTCCACAACTCTGAGACTAGAAGAAATAGATGGTGCCCAGCTACCATTATCAACTGCTCTGAAAGGTTCCTAACAGAAGGTACTGGCTAGAGTGGGAGAAAAAATGTGGAACAAAACTCAAAAATATAAAAAATCATTTAAACAAAAGGCTTACTGGTTAGATAGAAATTTGGTTCTATAGAAACTGGTAGAGCCCCTAATGCTATAATGGCCTTTAACCACCCTTCAGGTATGGAACAGAACTTACCCCCATAGCTCAGTTTTCAACCCAGAATGTCATCTCTTCTGGAAGTCTTTGATTAGAGTAGAATGAAGATTGAGCAGCCTTGGCATAGAGGAATAGTTAGAGGGGACTTTGGAGTCTGACTGCTCAGTTTGAATGTCATTTATTAGCTGTGTGACTTTAAGCAAAGTGCCTAACCTCCCTGATTCACGTTCCTCATCTATAATAACAGTAGCTCCATCACATAGTGGGGGGAGTTAAATTAGTTACTATGGATAATGGTGCCTGGTGCATAATTTGTATGCAGCAAGCATTAGTATGATATGAACAATTTTATTTACTTAGTACCTCTTCATTTCATAAAACTAAATTTTAATGTATTCATTAACTGTTCTAATTCTCTGATTTCATTGATCTTGTTACAAGAATTCAATCTTTATTTTAAAAAATTTAACATTTCCCTATGTTAAACAAAACATTACTTTACATCTTGCATAGGCTGTACAAGTACAAATGGATCTTGTTGTTGTTGTTAGGTGCCATCGAGTTGGTACCAACTAATAGCGACCCTATGCACAACACAATGAAACACTGCCCGGTCCTGGACCAACCTCACAATTATTGCTACACTTGAGCCCATTGATGTTGCTATTTTGCCAATCCATCTCACTGGGGGTCTTCCTCTTTTTCTCTGACCCTCCACATTATCAAACATGATAGCCTTCTCCAGTGACTAGTCCCTACTGACACTATGTCTGAACTATGAGAGACAAAGTTTGACCATCCAAGCTTTCAAGGAGCACTGTGGCTGCACTTCTTCCAACACAGATCTGTTTGTTCTTTTGGCAGCCCATGGTACTTTCAATATTCTCCTCCAACACCATAACTCAAAGGCATCAATTCTTCTACAGTCTTCCTAATTCACTGTCCAGCTTTTGCATGCATATGAGGTTATTGAAAATACCATGATTTGAGTCAGGCGCACCTTAGTCCACAAGCTGACATCTTTGCTCTTCAACAGTTTAAAAAGGTCTTGTGCAGCAGATTTGCCTAATGCAATACGTCATTTGATTTCTTGACTGATGCTTCCTTGAGTGTTGTCGGTTGATCCAATGGATCTTATAGGTGATTTATTATGGAAATACCTTACCAAAATAGTGAAGAGATAATTTGCAAAAGCAGGATGAGAATGATTGTACAACTTGAAAAAGGTAATCAATGTCACTGAATCGTACATTGTAGATGAATGTGGAAATTGTTGCTTATGTTCTGATGTGTATAGTTAACAACAACAAAATTAAAATAAAGTATAAAAAATGAAGTAGGGAGGAGTCCTGGTATGGTGCTATAGGACTGGACTGCCAACTGTAAGGTTGTTGGTTCAAACCCACCAGTTGCCCCTCAGGAACCAACTTGACAGCACTTAACAATAATCATTGATTGGGAACCACCATCAGGGACCGATCTTCATGGATGAGGTCTTGGCCTTAAATTGTAGATTTGTAATGCAATATACAGTCATGTCTTTAGTTTAAATTAAATGTTCTAAGGTTAAAACCCCTGTATTAAGCTTTGCCTGGAGCAGGAAGCCCCAGAGTTTCAGACCAGTGAGTGTGAGCCCAAGGCTCTGTACAACTTACACCTGGAAGCAAGAGTCCCAGTCGCCATCATTGCTGACAGTTGGGATGCGGATGGGGCTGACTCGCATCTTCTTCCTACAAAGAAGCACATGTGAGGACCGCTGTGGCCAAGACTTGGAAGCATGTTCTATTTCCCCTCTATTGGATACTGTTACCATTAAACTAACTTGCTCAAATTACAATCCATCCTAAATTGACATATAGACTATATACATGTATGGAGACCCCTGGTGGTGTGGTGGTGGTGGTGTGCCATGGAGTTGGTTCGACTCATCGCAACTCTGCATAGGGTGTCTGAGGCTGTAAATCTTTACTGGAGCAGAAAGCCTCATCTTTCTCTTGAGGAATGGTTGACTGATAGTTTCGAACTGCTGACCTTGAGGTTAGCAGCCTGTCTAGTAACCACTACACCACCAGAGCTCCTTATGGAGACCCCCCCCATCCGCCCAGAGCATAAATAAAAGAGAATTGCTAAATTAAACTTGTTTCTTTCCCCTAATTTCTACTTCACATGACTTCTCCCAATCCTTGATAATTTTCCTCCCTTTTAAAAATGAAACATACTTAAATCACGTTTACAGCTCCTATTATAAAACATGGTCTCCTACTCAAATCAAATACGTATTTGCAGGTATGATCTAAGCAAAACAACCAGTTCTCAAATACTAAATGAAGTGCTCTTTTCCCTGGGGTCATTTCACTATTTAATAAAAGATGCTGGGTAAGGATCTAAAACTCATTTGAGTCTATTTTGGTTCTATTGTGGACTGAAGGGGAAATGGAGGGAACTCTTGGGGGAAAAAACATGGTTTATTTTCTGAAATTCAACTTTCATGGTGGTCTTTGTAGCTTAAATAGTAAACCCAAGTGGAACATAGTTACTTGTTGAGCATTAAGCTCAAGTTTCATCCTGCAGCATGCCATTCCTTCCCATCTGGGCCCAAGGTGCTCTCTGAGCCAGGTTCCAGTACAGCCAGAGAAAAACCATTTTCAAAACTCTGACCAGGTCGAAAGGGTCTGACTCTCAACCTCCTTAACTCTCTTCCCATGAGGTTCCACATGGCCTTGAATTAAACACCCAAACTTTGACCCCTCTCTGGAATACAAATCTCCTCTTCCTTTTAGGCGGTTCTGCAGTAACCTTGTGAATCCTGACCCTATAGCCTTCTAATCCCGGGATGTTCCATTTTCTGCCGGCCTCTGTCAGGTGGACGCTGCCGCCCCGAAAAGGTGCCAATCCGAAATTGGAGGAAGGGGCCTCCCAGGTGAGTATCTGTGGCGTACCTGGCCCGGGCTGAGAAGCCACGCCCCGGAAGCTGCCTTCCTGCCTCACTCAGGTGGAGCTAGGCTTCCACGGGCGGCGTCAGGCTCCTGGCCTTAGGAACCGGGTTCAGGGAGCTGCTGTAAGAGAGCACTGCGGAAGCGAGACGCTCTGAGATGAACGGTTTTTGTTTTTTTGCGTAGGCCGCCAGCCTCCCCCGGTGGACAATGGCGTTGCCATGGGAACAGAACGCTGCGGGACACTTGGGAACTGGAGTTTCCACCCCCCAGCCTCCCCAGGAGCCCGCCTGTAAGGCACTTCCGGTCTAAGTCTTCTCTGGCCAACTACTGTACACGTGACATGACTAGCTGGTAGGTTGCTTTGGTGGTGGATTCCTCCACCGTTGTTTTTCCTAAACGGGCTCTCCCAGGCGAAGGCACAAGTAATAGAGATACATCTTGTCCAAGGGGCAGCCTTACCTTTACACAGTTGTGAAGTGTATGTAGGGACACCCCAGCCTCGGCAACCCCACCCCCACCCCCCCCACACACACACCGTCTTCCGCTTGTTCCCCTATAGCTGTTGCACTTACTGGTTCTATGTTGTTGTGAAGTGCTGTCGAGTGGGTTCCACCTCATAGGGACCCTATATAGGGTTTCCGAGGGGCATCTGGTGAGTTTGATCCGCCTATCCTGAGGCTCAAGTCGACCTTGCTGTCCAGTGCTCTATCCCATAGCGCCACACTTGTACTCTGGTTCTTGTGTAACCTGTCTCGGTAAGATTTGAGCTAACCGGAAGTTTTAATGGAATTAGTTCTGCTGATGGTTAAGGAGATGGTTGATGTTCAGCCATTTCAAGACATGGAATATGATCAAGAGCTAATGATACTGAAGGAAGAAGTCCAAGGTTCATTGAAGGAACTGGCAAAGAACGAGGCACCAGGAGTTGATGGAATAAAAATTGAAATCTTTCAAGAAAGTGATGCAGC